AAATAAATAAATAAATAAATAAATAAAAATAAAATAAAGAAAAAGTAAACTTACAGAGACCAGATGCCTTGTTCTGATTTCTGGCCCACCACACTGCCTTCCCTGCAGCTGTGAGGCCAGCTGGAGCCAAGCTTGCAATCTGCTCCTCCCTAAAAGCCCACAGTCCTGGCGAAAGGCACCTGTGTTCTCAGCTCACCAACACAAGGAGACATTGTCCCCAAGATCAGGCAAAAAGGTCTTTGCCAGGAAACATATCCTTTGTGCCTACGTTTGCACAAAGCTGTAGCCAAGAGAGAACTGTTTCCATTCACTTCTCCCCTTCCATCTCCTTCATCCTAATCAGAGTAGTACATTTAAGCCAGGAGACTGTGTGGAGGTTTTGGGAAGTCCTCAACCCCCAGGAGTTGCCGTGTGTTTCTACTGTGTGTTGTGTGGAATAGGAGCAAGATAATTTTACAGATGCTTACTCCTGACACGAGCTTCAAAACCAGCTCAACTCAGACCAAGAAAAAATGCATCCCTTCCTATATGCCGAGGACTCTGGTGGCTTGGCTTGGGAACCAAGGAGTGAAGTCATTTGGCTTCCATTTTGAAGGAATGAATGAGTCAAGGGTGGTTTATAGACTGAGGCAATCCCACAGGAGATACACCATGAAAGCCCCTTTAGAGACACACAGCAGCTCCTGGATAAGGCAGTTTCCAAGGAGGTGATACTCGTATGATCTAAATACAACACACCTCATTGAACATGGCCAGATCTTCCATTTAGAGTAGACTTGGTAGATGAGTGCCACAGGGTAACTGAACCCAGGTTTGGCTGCTCACCACTTAAAAGCCAGACTCAAGAGATTAGGGATGATGGGAGGAAAAGCTGGTCTATTTGGAAAGCCAGTAACACTATGAAGATGGTGGACTAGTGTTCTGAAGTACAATCTTAAATTTTTCAGGCTAACTGGAGGAGTTTAATGGTGTGGGATATGGGGAAGAGGAGTGAGTTGGGGAAAGAGTTGAGATCAAGGGATGACCAGAGACTGCAGACATCTGGGTGCCAACAAGGGTCCAAAGAGGTTGGGAACTTCTCTGTCCTTGGTCAGGTCACAATGGTCATATAAATCTTTAACAAAACATAGTTGTTTACTTCTCTAATCCCAGAGTTAGTTTTTAAAACTACGCGATTGCTGGGTTTGCATGTTTATCTCAATGCTCTAAAATTATCCTTGCCTATGTGCAGGAATGGGTAAAGGCCACTTTAAACAAAAATGAAGTTAGTTACATTTGTTTTTATGCTGTTTCACTGTGACAACAGGAAATACTGTTAAAGGCCATTTGGGCCAGGTGGGGTGGCCGTAATTCCAGTTACTCAGGAGGCTGAGGCAGGAGGATCACTTGAGGCTAGGAATTTGAGACTAACCTGGGCAACACAGTGAGACTTCGTCTCTAAAAATATATATATAGAGAGAGAGACATAGTCTCGCTATGTTGTCCAGGCTGGAGTGCAGTGGCATGATCTCAGCTCATTGCAGCCTCCACCTTCCAAGTTCAAACAATTCTTATGCCTTAGCCACCCCAGTAGCAGGGACTACGGGTGTGTGCCACCATACCAGGCTAATTTTTGTATTTTTAAAAGAGACAGGGTTTCACCATATTGTTCAGGTTGGTCTTCAACTCCTGGACTTAAGTGATCCACCTGCCTGGGCCTCCCAAAGTGCTGAGACTATAGGCATGAGCCACCATGCCCAGCCAAAATATTAAAAAATTAGAAAAATGATTATTTTTAATTTTAAAGACCATTTGGAATAATTGCCATATTCCAGAACAAAGATGAGCTCATGAACAACCAGGAGTCTCAGTGACTGAGGGACAGAGGCTCCCCAGGGGGCAGACAGAGACTCCCATATCTATGGCATGGTCCTGTCCACTAGGGCTATTTTGTCCACTGGGGCTGTTTTGAGAATAAAGAATGCGACTCGGGAAGTTGAGGCGGGAGGAGCGCTTGAGCTCCGGAGGTCCAGGCTGCAATAAGTCCAGATCGCGCCACTGCACTCAGCCTGGGCGACAGAGTGAGACCCCGTCTCCATTAATTAATAA